CGTGCTGCACAATCTCCAGTATATACCTGCTCAATTGATCGAGAGATCTGGAACATAATCAATGCAAGAAGGCATCAACGACAGTTTCAAAATTTAATGGCGCTTTGGCTTCGGTAAATCCATCTTTTTTTTATATTCTTCCCATGTAGTTTCGTTCCCCATTCCCCTTGTTTTTTACTTTTTCTTTGCCAAGAGAACAATGTAATAGGTTGACATCTTTGTAACACCTAACATTATATTAACATTCTTAACAGAGCCGGATCTCAGAAGAATTTTTTGAAACATTTGAATAGGCCATTCTAAAGAGGCCCACTTATTAAAAAAAAAAATTAAATATATATATTAGTTTATTTAAAGACAAATTTCAAAAAATGCCATTTTTCAAGTGTCACTTTACAAATATGTCACACTTTTAAAATTTTTACAAAAATGTCACTTTTTCAAAATTATTTGTTCTTTATATTATTTATGTTTGGGTTAATTATAATTTATTAGAGTTTAGTTTTAAGTATTTAGGGGATTTTAGGTGTCAAAACATTTTTTAGGGTTTAGAATTTTAAGATATATGCCTTATAAATCAATAATTAGTGGCATTTTTGTAAATGAACATCTTTAAGTAGGATTCTTGCAAATGTGCATACAAAAAGTGGCATTTTTGTAATTGCTTCTTGTTTAGAATATGTTATTTGATGGATAAAAATGAAGATTTAGTGAAATTAGAAACTTTTGTTTGTGGAATCTAGTATTTTATGAGGTTATATGATTAAAAAGTAAAAATTTTAATTATTTTTTTTTCATAATTTTATTTCACATAAGAAAAATAAATTTACTGTCGTAAAAATCACTTTTTAAAAAAAAATTATTTATACTAAATGTTAGTAGTTTCTTTTTTATATGGGCCCCGAAAATTTCAAATCCGGATCTGATTCTTAGCAAATAAAGAAGAAAAAAAATCATAATATGTTATGTATAATGGACGAACTTGTCCTTGCTAACACACCAATGAAAGTAAAAATAGTATAAACACCTTTTATTCAAACTTACTTTCTAACTAACCACACTTTCTAAAAAAATGAAAAAAGGAATTAAAATTAATTAGAAGGTATATATTTGTTAGATTCGCGATTCGTGTTGCAGAGTAACATGGTTTAACTTGGTGTTTCTCCACTTGCAAATGACGTCAGCGACTTCTCTCTTGGAAGGTCGTATCACGTTGGGCTATGAGCATGCAAAAGCGTCTGCCTAATCAATGAACATATAGTTACTTTTTTTTTTTTGTTAAACACTACAAAAAAAAAAGTGTTTTACATCATTTATTTTGTTTATTTAAATCAATTATAAATGATGTAAATATATTTTGTATTATTTATGTAAATGACTCTAAAATTGGTGATGCAAATATTAACATCAATTAAAAAGACCGATATAAATATTTTTATCATTTATATTAATCGATGCTAATTTGCATCGATTTAAAAAATTGATGCTAATATCTACATCGGTTTAATAATTGATATCAAATATTTTTTTATCAATTAAATAAAAATCAATTTCGAAAGTTATAATTGGATTATGATTTAAAACTAATCGTAAATGAATTTTTACTTAAGGCAATATTTATTTACCTTTAAATAAGCTATGAAAAATCAAAGTCAATGTTGAACTTTGACAACAATATATAATTGAGGGAGTTTAGTTATTTATAAAACTAAAATCTTCTTACTCACACCTTTAATTATTGATGTGGGACTTACAAAAGTAAGCAAATGATTTATTAAAAATGTGTTAGCATCAAATTTTTAGTGACATTAATTTTACAATCATTCTTTTAAATAATGCTAACCAAATTTGGTAATTACGTTGGTTAAATAAGGAATGTAAATCAATATTTATATGTCAATTTTTTTTAAGTGATACAAATTTATATGGATTTGCATCAATATTATTAAACCGATGTTAAACACATCAAAAACAATATCAATTACTACAATTGATATTAAGTCACATGTTTTGTATCATTTACTTAATAAATAATTTAATATTA